TTCAAAATACAGTCGAATTTCAATATGACAACCGATTCTCGCAAACATTAGTACAAGATAAAAGCTAAGCATGCGTCAAAGTTAAAATTTAAGAATTCCATATTACTACAAAGATTTAGATGGATTACTGAGATAACGTTGGTGGAAAGACTTTATTTCGTATAAAAGTGCAGGAAGACGAGACTCGAAGGCTGGAGTAAAACGAAAATCAGCCGTCGTTTTCTGATGAGATAAACTTTCTTCATGCACTTTCATAGGAAAGTCTGCCCAACAATCTATATTACTAATAACACTAGGTTCATAAATGCAGAAATTGATAACACAAAAGTTAAATAAGAATATAACCACCTCAATTGAAGTTAATTGTAAGTGATCCAATTCAAGTGTCATACCATTTACCAGATTTAACAAAAGTAAGAAGTGTGTATTTCGTGATGAAAAAACACACTTAAGAAATGGCAACTTATTAATTAAATTCGATTGAATAGATAGGTCGTAGGAAACGAGCTAAGTTCGATAAAAGTAGACATCTTCGATAGTATACAATAATTGTAAAATGATTAAATCGCACTAAAAATGATAAAAACCCTTCTTTAATTGGTTTACCAAGCCATCTATATAAACCTCTACTTCCGGTCATTTGAGACACTAAGGTGAGGGCTACACACCATATAGTGATGCCCTCATCTTTAGTGTCACATTTCGATATCTAACAAGATAAGTAGTACTATCAGGGCATACAAAACCGCCAGATATAGTTGAATGGGGGCTATAACACATTTTGGCTTGTGTGCTAAAATCTAAGTGCCTCAACAACACTCAGGCACATGACCTAGTCCGGTAGTCTTGATAAGCCAACTATTCGCTGCAAATCTCAAAGATCAATTCAACATCACATGAACAATCAAATCTAGCTAAACTAATTAGGAAACTAAGCTTGATTAGTCGAAGACCAGGATGGTGTGGCTCTGCATGAAAATGGATACTGAAAGATCAGATATAGCGGAACACATCGCAAAGACTGGACATATCAATTGGAAGGCAACAGAAATAAGGGCCTCATACAGTGAAAGCACAAGGAAACGGAAGATTAGCGAGGCCATTGACATACTTGGGGAAAAAATTTGATGAACAGGAGAATGGAAGAAGGAAGAGTTAGTAATAAATTTGCCTATTGCCTAATCAAACTCTAAGAAAACAGGGATGCAACGAGACAAGTAAAAAGGAGACACCTAGATGAAAGATCTATCGTAAACCAGAGGAAAAGGAATGGAAAGGAAGAAAATGATGAGGAAATTTCGGAAATGAAGCGAAATAGTCTCAGTGATTGTAGCCTACTCAAATAAATAACTACGACTTTGGTGGCCTGTCGTTTCACGTGACTAGGTAGAAGGATTGGGTCACAAAAATTGGGCATTAGGATCAAAGTGACTAATAATCCACTTGCTATGCAGCAGGCGGCCAGAGTGAGATGTCCACAGTTTGCTCAGGGTACACGGGCTTAATGGAGATGATGTTGCGTGAAGGTAATGCCCAATATTCGCAAGCACGGGAATCAGAGCCTAGGCGCTATGACGATAAGGCGACTTTGTACGTGCTACTGAAGGCTGGAGCACCTGCAGTAAAAGTACATTGGGACCGGAACCGAATGAAATCGGTCAACCAGAAAGATAAGAAACCGACCTACAGTCCCATGAGGCAGATCGGGACAGGAGGCTAGAGTCGGATCGACCACTCGAAAGGGAATGGAGCAAGGCAGACAGCAGGTGAGATGACAAAGAAGGAGCGACAGTTGTAATGGAAAGAAAACAATATACACAGAAAATGGAAGGTATACTGCAAGACATGACTACCCATCGTCTACAAAAGAATGACCCAACTATGAAGATCAATGGAACGCTACGGGACATGATAAAAGATATGCACAAGAAGTGGGAGATCAATGGGTGGACAATAAATTCACTAATAAAAAGCAGGCACGACTACCAACAGCCTACAGGTTAACGAAGTTACACAAAGAAGGAGAACCACTAAGGCTAATAACTAACAACAAGTTTGGAACAACACACAAATTAGCCAAGTTCACAAGTCTGAAAATCAAGAAGGTAAACGACAGATTATCAAACGGTGAAGTTTTGATGTATACTCTATGTACACAAACAGTTCTGGATAAAAGGCGCTAACGACACTTTTAGACATTTTTGATCGAGAAGAGGATATCCTAGAAGCAGAGTGTCAGAAGGTAGGCGTTAATACGATCAATCAACGTGTTACTAAGTACTACCTACTTCACATTCAATGTCAACATTTATGAACAGACATTTGAACTTCCTATGGGATCACCTCTCGCCGCTCTATTGGCAAATGTATATATGGACAAATTAGAAGAGAATTTCAAGGTGTAAAAGCTGGAACCAAGAGTTCGTATGCGGTACCTGGATGACTACTTTGCAATATGGTCGCATGGAAGAGAAAAGTTGGAGGATTTCCTGAAGTTTATGAACGGGATTGACGAAAAAATCAAATTCACAATGAATGAAGAAGAGTGGTATTTAACCTTTCTAGATGTGGAGGTTATTCGCTCTACTAGGACACTCAAGAGGAAATTGTTCCGAAAGAAGTAAAATGCTGAAATAACACTCTATTTCGAATCAAATCACAACAACAAAATGAAGATAGGTATACTGAGGAGCACGACCATCAGAAGCCTACGATTAACGGACGTGCAACTCTGGGATGACGAATTGAAAAAGCTGACTCGGATATTCCTCGGTAATGGATATCTGAGAGGAGTAATTCAAAGAAACATACTGGCTATGAAGAGCCGATGACAAGCCGGAGATCATGAAAGAAAGATAAGGATGGAGAAAGACTGACAACATCGGATATGTTTCCATTCCTGTGAACTAGCTCAAAAACTACGGCCAATATTAATAAATTGAAAAGTTCAGGTGGCCAGGAAGAACAAAAAACACTCTTCACATGTCTACTCACACAGCATGAGAGGGTAGATAAATTGGATTGCTCATGAGTTTATTGCATAGCATGCGGGGTTTGTGAACACAAGTACATTAGCGAAACTGGGAGAAAAAACGGCATATGAATCAAAGAACATCAAAGGCTCAGCATGAAAATGGATACTGAAAAATCAGATATAGCGGAACACATCACAGAGACTGGACACGAGAGCAATTGGAGGGCAACAGAAAGAAGTGTCTCATAGAGTGAAATCACAAAGAAATGGAAGATTTTGAAGCCATTGACATCTTTGGGGGAAAAATGTAATGAACAAGAGATTGGAAGAAGGTAGAGTCCGTGCTAACTTGCCTATTGCATAATCAAACTCGGAGAAAATAGGGATGCAACAATACATACAAAAAGAAGACGTTTGGATCAAGGATCTATCCTAAATTAGAGGAAAAAGGATCGCAAGGCAAAAGAGGGTGAGGTTTCAGAAATGAAGCGAAGATGTTTTCAGTGAGAGTAGTCAGCTCGAATATGCCCGACGTTTCACGTGACTAGGTAGAAATATTGGGTCACAAAAATCGGGCATTGTGACCAAATGGGCTAATAATGCACTTGAGATACACTTGAGATAGATCTCCACAGTTTGCTCAGGCTACACGGGCTTAATTGAGGAGATGATGCGTTAAGGTAATGCTTAATATCCGCAGGCATGGGAATCAAAGCCTAGGCGCTATGACGATAAGGCGACTTTGTACGTGCTAATGAAGGCTTGATTAATAGCACTTGAAGTAAAAGTACGCTGGGGCTGGAAACGAATGCAATCGGTCAAGCAGAAAGGTAAGAAACGGACCTACGGCCCCATGGGGCAGATCCGGACAGGAGACTAGAGCAGGATCAGCCACCCGAAATGAAGGGGAGCAAAGTAAACAGCAGGTGTGATGACGCCACAGTAAATTCGCCAAAAGGGCGCATCTCTTGTGGAATATAAACATGTCAGAAATTGTGGTAGGACAAGAGCGAGAATAGAGTGTAGGAAATGGATAAATGGGCCAGGACAAAACGATATGTGATAGCATAACCGTCTCGACATAAAGTTGGTCAAGGGATTGACTTCACTTGTCTCCTTGACGAGTTGTAGCC